AGATCTATACTGAAAATTTATTAATTCAACTATTTTTTTTGTCTCTAAAAAAAAATAATATCAATTTATTCTAAATTAATTTATGTAAAAAAAGATCTTTTTGAAAAAAATGTCAATTTCTTTCACATAATAATTTATGATCATGTGATAGTCTGCTGAAGCTGCACCTATACTATATTTCTTCACGCATTTATCTCATCTACATTTACTTAATCAATTCGCTATTATTGATAAACCGATGTGTTTCGGATGGCAACTTTTTTCACATGATCTATAATATATATTATGGCATAACTTATATATAAAGGTTTATAAATTATTTAATTTAAAGATTGGTTAATTAATGCAAGGTTAAGATAATAAATTAAGCCAATTAAAATGGATGGAGCGAAGAATATAATAATAATGAATACGAGTAAATTTAGTAAAATTGAAATTATTTAAAAAATTAGGAATAAAATTTATTATCAAATTCTGTAAAAATGCAAGCATCTTTTGATAATGCCTTTTCTACAATAAAATATATTAAAATTACTCGTGTATAAATAAAAAGATAATAGGACAAGTTTGCTGTCGTTTATGCGATAAATTTCAGTCTCACGTAATCATGACGAGAGTTACAGTATCAATCTATTACATATATAAATATAATATTTATATACAGTACAGTAAATATAATATTTATAAGAATATAATATACATATACTACATATATACCTTACATACATAAAAGTAAAAATAAGAATTATTATGTACATGCATCAGATATATCACAGATTTCTCCAAATAAACTAATCCACCATGTTGTTGAATAACTTAACAAGCCGAGTAGAAACAAAAGAATTGAAATTATACAACCACTAACACAAAAAATGCTATTGATAAACCTACCACCGCTAACATAGGTTTCTTTACCAAAAATATGATATAAATAAGCGATAGTACTATTGATTGTCCATATGGTACACAATATTGAGAGGAATTTACTTCGACATCCAAACCCTATTGGTGGTGTAAAGTAAGCCAAGAGTACTACTATCCAAGGGAATACTATTGAAGCTAAAGCAGTGATGAAAACATGAGCATCTGTATTATTCTTATCATCTATATCAGTTTCTAGGTGTTTTTTCACAAATATTTGTTCATTTTCTAGAAGTACCTTTCTAGGATCTTTAATTACAATTTTCCCTCCGCGTATTCTTTTTAGAACTGCTGGTATTGTCCAGGCCATTGCTAATGGTATGTATGGCCAATCTTCTTCTGAACATGGCCCTATTATTCTAGAGATACCCACAATTATACCGGCGCAGATATAATAAAATGACACCCCTGATGAAATTCTTTCTAACAAGGTCGGATCTGAAACACAGTGACCCATTCTCTCCTTTTGCTCTGTGGTAGGATCAACTACCATAGTATAATGTCCAACGGGCCTACAAAATGGGGAAGAATTGCTTTCCTCTCCTTTAACGCGAAAGTGCTTTGACGAAAGCCAATATATGCACTTAGCTATTGTATTGTCT